GTGGCCGCTCGCCGCGCTCAGACTAATGCGAACTGAATTCGCCGCTGTTGCTGCTTGCGCTGCGGTCGCTGCTGTCGCTGCTGCTGCCGACTGCTCGCTGATAAGATTCACCTGCTCACTCGCACCCACTCGCTCGCCCTGTCGCCCATAGCTAGAGGCTTGCTCATGCTGATTATCGGATTGGCTGCACTTGGCCATGACGTCCTCGCGCTTGGGCCACTGCAGACGTTCGCCCGCCGCGTTGCCCGCTTTGACAGCGATAAAAGTCGCGTTCGTATTACCGTTGGCGTCGCTGCTGCGTCGCAGTTTGCTTTGCATTTTTGCCTGTTCGGCGTTTTTGTACTTGTAGAAATTGTCCTTGTCCCGCTGCAATTGCAGCAGCAGCTGTTGCTCCGACGGCGTCTCCTGCAGATTGTGTAAGCTGGCGGCGCGTTTTGCGCGCGTTTCGTGCGCGTTTGTCAGGCTGGGCCAGTCGCGCGCGTTATTAAACGCATTCACCAAACAGCTAACCGACTTGTTTAGCTTGCGCAGGGTGCCCAGCCCCTGGCGCTGGACGTGGGACTCCGCTGCCTCGACGCTGGCGCTGTGGATGCGCTTGCTCCAGAGCAAACGTAGAGTTTGAACGCCGCGGAATTCGCGAAACGCGCGCGATTCACAGTTGCAATTGTTGTTGTTGATTCTATTGCTAGTCTCTCGATTGCTGTTAGTGTTAGATGTATCGTTATCGTTATCGTTACAGTTATTATTATCGTTATCGTTAGCTTTATCGTTCGCACTTGCACTCTTCACCAGCCAACCGAGTATTGTCTTTTCTTTACGCGGCGAAGTATTTGTTGTTGCCGTTGTTGTTGTTGTTGTTGTTGTTGCATTTCCATTGCATTCGCTGCGCGCTGCAGCCGCATCCATATTCGATCCAGATGAGGTCGCCATGGCGTCCGCTGACAACTGCATTGCTACGATCAAGCGTTCGGCGGCGACGTCTGTCTTGGCCAGCGGCCGATGGCCAATTCAAATGGAAGCTGCCGTCGCCTCGAGGCCTGAAAGACAAAGAGCAAGAAAGAGAGAGAGAGAGATTTTAAGTGAGACGGCAGCAGGTGGTGAAAGCGCATGGAAATTGTTGAAATATCTCCAAATTGAGTGGCCAAAAACTCTTGACGTGTATGCAAATTAGCTGCGGAGAGAGGGGCGCTGTCGCGGAGGCGTGGCATTTACAGTGGCATGCTTTATGCACACACAGTAACAGTAACAGCAACAACAACGCGATGCTGGCCTAAATGAAACATGCGCCACAGGAAATGAGCCACTTAAACAACAACAAACAGCAAAACAAGTTGGGATTAAACACACAGCAGCTCGTTAAATCAAAGTGAATTGAAGACAAACGCGCCGTAAATATTGATAAAAATAAAGATAATGCAATTCAGGTTATAACGTAAATAATAATATTAATAAGAAATTATTAAGAGTAAAAGCCAGATAAGATATGCGAACGAAAGAATGTGGAGGACTAAATGGATTTGATATGATATTTAGCTGATATCAATGATACATATGATATAGAAATATATCAGTCTATTAAGCAAATAGAGTTAGGAGCTGATCGGATATAATATAAAAATGTATAAGTATACGAAAACTTTAACTAGGCTAGACTATTGCATTATTGTATTTATAACTCATGATTCAAGTTTTTATCAGAACTCTTAGCTGATATAGAAAATATGCCTAGGTGTGTAAAACAGAGTTTATCGAAATTGTAGAACAGTTTGTTTATGAACTTCAACAACATTTTTTATCAGACAAGGTCATAATAACTGCATAGCTCTTAAAAGCTATAAACTGATCGTAAATAACAGCCAAAGTATTGATTCTAATCTGCTGGTTAAGCTTGAAGAGTGGACTGTCCTCCAGCCACGTTACAGGCGAAGTCAACGAGATTCACATTGTCTAAGCTCTATTTATATAGATATATTTATATAGAACACATTCACTTGCTTTAACATTTATATTTATAATATGCCATGAATGTACATACATATATAAAATATATACTTTCATGACATATAATAAATATAATTGCATTTTGTGTTTCTTGAACTCTGGCCCATTAATCACTGCACCGCAAAAGTGAAAATAACAAGTTGATCGTTTTGATAAATTTTCATTCCTAACAATCGTCAGTGGCATTTGGAACGAGCAACGTGGCGTATGCGCAATTTGTTAGCTGCAGCTAAGCGTCAACAAAGCTTTGCTTATGCCACACACACACACACAGCATTGCGTATGCGTGATATGGTTTTTTGGCAATTCGATCTTATCAAAACTTGCGCACAGTTAAGGAAAAGATATAAAAAAAAAACAACAAGATTTATATATATAATAAAATGCTTGCCCAACTGCCAAAGCCGCACACGTTGTTCGCCAGCTGCCAGCCCCACACACCTACCCGACCAGTCGCCCACCTGCCGGAGCTCACGTTTTTGTCACACACACTCGCACACACACACTCACACACAATTGTCAATTATAATGAGCGATTACATAAAAAGCGTACAACAAATTTCTTTGCTTCACTGTAAAATAGTTTTTTAAGCCGCTTTTGTTGGCTGCCATAGTTGTGTGCTTCTTCTTCATTTTCTTCTAATACCACCTTGCCATCCCGCTGCTGGCCCGCTGGCCCTCTAGCCCTCTAGCCCGAATGGCTCCTTCAGCTGCTTGTCAGCAGCGGCGACGAACGCGTTGCGAATAACAAAAATAATTTAACGCTATGGCAAATGGTATTTAAACAAAATATTAAATAAGAGTCAGCTATACACACACACACAGACACATACACACACACTCGCTCAGACAATTGCAATGTAAATAAGAAGCTAAATTTGTTGATTACGCAAACGCTTATTAGCCATATAGAAAAACAGTCAAGTGAATAGATATATAAATTTATATATACAATATTTATATTTATATACAAGTATACATACATATTCAATTGGCTGCCTTCATTTGTGGCTTATAGAAATATGGCCTTAAAACTCTATTATCATCAAATTTCATGTGCATAAGTAAACAGAAAAAAAGATTCATTAAAATCTATATGTCATTAATTGAAAATAAGCAATAACTGTATAATGCTCGATCATAGCTACCCAGAAAAAGCCTCATTATTGTATATATGTACGTACATAAGCTAATATGCTCGCTTTTTACCTCATGAACAGGCATTAAAACAGACTCAATCTCAGTTTCCCATACCCTCTTTTATATATACATTTATAAATAACAATTCAATGTGTGATTCTCTCTTATCTACTGTGAATTTCGGAGATCTCGTGAATAAATTGCAAAACCAAATCCCTTGTCTATAAATATTTATTCCGAATTAGCATGCAAAATCAGCTTAAAATCAATTAGTTTTCAACTAGAAACAGTCGCAGCACATTTAAATGGATATTTTTATGCGTTAGCCGTTGCCTTATTGGATCGTTCGATCAGCCAATGTCAGCGGCTGTCACCTGTTGCAAACTAAGGCCAGGTGAACAGCTTTTTGGGCCCGGCCAGCAGCGCACAATAAAGCCAACTTTGCATGAGAGTGAGTGAGAGAGAGAGAGAGGGGGAGAAAAAATCAGCAACAAATGCTTTTTGCATATTAAAAAGTTAAGCGATAAACCAAAATGGAAAATGTAAACAATGCAAAAGTTTTAGTAAAATGCATAAAAAACAAACTAACATATAAAAAATATGTGAATGAAAACAAAAGTCTGGCAGATATTTCAAAGAGACTCACTCTCTATATATGGAGTGCTGCACCTGCAGCTGTGACAATGTTTTGTATATATGCATACCCTGTAATTATTGCATATGCAAAAGGCAACGTTGAACTTGAGAGTGAGTATGCAATAAAGACAGAACAAAACTGTATTTGATATTTGCAAATGATAGATTACAGGGTATCTGTAATTCAGTTTTCATAGAGCAAAATTTATACAAATGCAATCTTTTCTATAATACTTATAGTCAGCTATTTACAGGGTATCTGCTGTTCAAGCTCTGTGACTTTTAAGCTGCTTTTTATATAGTTTTTCTGCATTTGCATGCTGTAGTCGTAATGCAAATGACTTCGTCAAGATGCAGCGCCCATAAACAAATGCAGATGAGACGGATGTGCATTATAACAACACACACACAAAAAAAACATGATCATAATTTAAGTGAGATTTTTACAGTTACACTTGCATTTGACCAATAGAAAAGTTAAGGCTAGGCTGGGCTGGGTGAAAGTGACAAAAGTTGTAAAAAAAACAGTGATAAAGACAAAGATAAATAAACGAAAATAGCTGACTGAATGAGCTCAATGCAAATGCCAAGCTGCAGCCTAATGTCTGGCCAATGACTGATAATCGTATTGTTCATCATTCCAAGCAGCAGAAGAAGAAAATGCCCAAGAATCGACGATTAGGCACGCATTGGCTAATGGAACAATCAATGGCTAGATAAGCGTGCTTTGTGCAACCGAATGAATGCGGAAAAAGCGCCAAGATAAGTATGAATTATTCAAACATGATAAAACAAATACCTACACACATTAATCTATATATATATGTATATAATATATAGAAATTTCAATAAATTAATTCAGGCACAATTTATTGATATTAATGCAAAGAAGCTGCTGAGACACATCTGAAACTCTTAAGTTTAACTTGAAGAAATACTCATTAAAAATTGTGAAAGTTTACTTTTCTTTTCCTTTAGGGCCTTTTGTTTTGTTTTTTATTCTTCTATCTTTCGGCTTATTTGACTAATACTGCGGATAGCTAATGAACTGTCTCGCTAAAGATTTAGTGTAGATGACGTCTTGCATTTAAGAAACTAACGAAATGGTCGAATATTAACTTAATTTCTTTTCCAAGCAATACAGAAGGAAGAAAGGCAGATAAAGCTAAGAAAATGATTTAAAATGGATTAAAGCATTCACTTTTATTCTTCTATTGTAAGTCTATATAGGAAAGTCCAAGCCATTACAAGAACATAAATGAGGCTTACCGAATATGTAATGTAGTTATACGTTATAGTACGAACAACTTAATACAGATTATACTAATAGTCAACAGTGTAAGACAACAATCCAAGTTAAGGCACATTTGACAGTAATTTTAAGCTAGTAGATTATATATACATATATAATACAACAAATAAACTTGTATTGTATCGTATTATTGCACTACTGATATTAAGCTCTCTTTCATTTATTTATCATATTTTAACTGTTGTTTAATCACACTTTACGTCACATTTCACTCACTGCCTAACCAGGACCTTCGACTGAAAACTATTTGTTGTCTAATGTATTCAAAGAAAACTTGCATTTGTTTTTGGTAACGTTGGTTGCCCCGACAACCGATCCACGGTGAATGCAACCACCAACCAGCCGACTAACTAAAAAACTTGACTCTGCCTGCCGTTGGCAACCCCTAAAAATTATGGTGACGGAAATTCAACCCTAAGCCGTCAATGCCGCGCATTGGGGCTGGTCAACACGGCGTATGATTTACACCACATTGAATTTGCGTAAACAAATATCAAAAGTTAAGGGCGACTGGCTCAACGGTCGATAGTTTTCATGATTGCCTTCACTCGGGGGGCTTGTTCCTATTTGCATGACATCTGCTCGTTTATTATATACATCTGCTGGCCTCTCCATAAGTCTCGCTGTTTGTCGGCGGCTCCCTTTGTGCGATTTGGAATTGGTGAAGTATGTGTCTTTGTGTGTGTATTATCGGTGTCTGTTTTCACTATATATTCATCCGTCTTATGTCTGCTTTTACGCCTTGCTTCAAGCGAATTCAATTAACAAAATTAAAGTTCGTTTTGTATATAGAAATATGCTTCGAAGGCAACATTTATATAGAGTCTATAGTTCTATGAAACTATCATATGTATTTAATAGTTGGTTATACAGTACATATACTAAATGAACTCCAATAAACACCTATGCAGATCTTATGTTCTTTGCGTTCAGTATATCATATTATCAAAGATAGCCTCTCTGTCTTATGTACATATGTTCCACTCAATAGTTTTATGTTTTTAATAACTACTACTAATAACAACTACAGCTCATGCTATTTTAAAGTTCGTTGGGTTTACACTCAAGGACACAAGATTGTAATAGTTTTTGCTCTAAAGGTAAACCCAATACACAATTTCTTGCGCAAAACCGCATGACAAATACATATACATATAAACAGAGACTACATATCGAACAAATGTATAATATCTAAATAAACTGATAAGCTGTGGAGGATTACTCATGTTTGTTTATTTTTTGTGCTCTCGAAACACATAATATATTGATATATGTACATATGTATGTATATGCATATTAATAAATACATACCGATGTAAGCTAATTAGTCACATTTCTAATTTGTAACCAGATACGCTTTGGGCTAAACCAGTGCATTTTATCTGCAGTTGAAGCTTTTGGCATCTATTTGGTGTGAATATGTGTGTGTACGTTAGTTGTGTATGTACTATATAGTTAACTGCATTCCAAGCATTTTACTAGCTAACGCAAAAAACTCAGAAAGAACCGCAACAAAAGCCAGTCAGGGGAGCGCCGGTTGAGCAGGAGGCGTGGTGGGCGCTGAAGGCAGTCTAAGAGACCGCATAAGGCACAGAGGCGTGTAATTAGCGTGTACCATTGGCAAACTGAACTTAATGTTGCTTGTAAAGAAAAACCTTAGTTGGGGTATTATTAATTTGTTAGAAAACATGTAACACACAAGGGAACATATTACTAGCTTCAATTATTTGAGAGCGATACTTTTATATATGAATGTGTATATAAAAATCTGCATAAAACATGCAAATTTATACATATATTATATAATTAATTTGACAAATACCATATAAATTCTAAAGGAAGCGTATTCATATGTCGCCAAAGCAAAGTTTTTGTTCTTTACTCTTATCTCTCATTCTTGCTGCTAGCACAACGGTAGCTGCGCTGTCGCTGCCTCTGCCTATCCCACTGCCGCCTAACAGTTAGATGAACGAACGCTGAGCTCAGCTGTGCTGTAGGCACAACACGGCCAGCGTTAGCCATAGGCCAGGCAGAGGTCAATATCAGAGGCCAAACGCATAAGAAGACGACAACAAAAAAGTCACAGCTAAGCAGTTTACAGTTAAAGAATAGCAAGAAAAAAGATAACACCAAAATGCAAAAGTCTCATTTCATTTAATTACCATTAAGCCAGGCCACAGCTGTACGAGCTGAGCAAGAAGAAGCAGCAGCAGTAGCACCAGAAGCTGCCATATATAATCCACAACTAGGCAGAAAGAAGACAAAACATATAGCGCAGAAGAAAGAAAAAAAAAACACTTTGCAGGCGCTCAAATTGGCAGGCTTGGCAAGCCTCGCAGACACATACACACACGCACAGCCTGTTCTTGGTGAAATTTTTAGTGCAGAAGCTGTTGGTGTTGTTGTTGTAACTATTTTTATATGTGTGGGCTTTTGTGGCCAAGTGGTTTGGCTAGATTCTTGGCTCAATTTGATTTTGTGGGCGTTTCACTTTTGCCAGCCACTTTCGTTTCACCTTACACACACACATACACCGTGTGTGCCAAATTTTGATTACATCGATTATTGCACATCATTTTCAATAGGAAAGACAAACATTAAACACAAATGAACAGTTTAATATGCGCGCGCAGCTCTCGGCAACGAACACACGCATAAAGGCGACGCCCGCACCTAACAAACAGAGGAAACGACGACCGCACCGAACGACAACTGAAGACCAACTGACTAGCGAAGCTGCTGCTGCTGCTGCCGATGCCGCCGTTGAGTAGCAGAGCAGCGACGCAAGCAGAGCAGAGCCAACTTTGCTGCAAAGAGAGCACGACCAACTTCGTTGAGCGTCGCTGCGACGCGTTGCGACGTCTACGCTTGCGTCGTTGCGCATTCCTCTGTGCATTAGCTGCATTTCGTTCTGATTCTTATGCTTACGCTCTCCGCGCTGGCTGCGCAGCATTTCTCCGCAAGTATGCGACGCCACCTCCAACCCCTTTTCATCTTCCCACATTGCGGATGCAACTTGTAATTGGCAACTGGCAAGTTGCACTGCTGCTTAAACAGCGCTTGTTCTTTGTGGCAATTGCTGGTGTTGCGTTCATTGGCATTTGCCTTGTAGACATCAGCGTTTTAATTAACTTAACAAATTTTGATTAAGTCGCTGGGCACTCTAATTGATTTAAAGCTGCTGCCATCTCAAGCTCCACACCTCTGTGGAATGTGTCTGCACAATTGGCGTAAATCCCATTAGAGACGCGCACGAAAACAAGTTTTGGTTTTGTTTTGTGACGAAAGCCAAACACCAAAAAAAACTAATACACACAAACAGACCCACACACTGAAGAGCGCGCTAAAGACCCGACAAAAACAAAAAATAAGAAAATAAAAAAAATCGAATACCCGCTCGACTTGCAAGTTCTTGCCAAGTTCAACGGACAGCTGCACAAAGCAAACGGCACAAAAAACAAAAACACAACGCAAACGCAAAAGCAATATAACGTTTACTGCTTTTGCTTTTTTGTGTGTTTTCTTGTGTGCGAGCGAGACGCAGCGTAAGAGAGCATGTTTTAGGGTGACCATACCGAGCTGTTAAAGCTATTATGGTGGCCGAAATATTGGAATGCATTTAACAGACGCGCTCAAACGGCGCCAAGCATCAAAGTAGGCCCATCAAAAAGCGTAGACAATGCCAAATAAAACAGAAATACAGAAAACCAGAAAAAAAAAACTGTGCGAACATTTCGCAAAGCTTCAAACAGCGACAGCGACCCGCAAACCTGGTTTTCATTTTCATTTTCATTCAATTCAAACAGACTACAAAAAACAGCAGCCAAACAAGGCCTAAGAGGCGGCAGGCGGGCGTGGCATGTGGGGCACAGCATGTGGCAAGAAATAACGACAAGTACGGCAAGTAGCAATGCAGTTGCCACACACTTGTTGCACACTCTCCGCCAGCTGCCTTTACCCCTCTCTGCCACGCCTCTTCACTAATTTGCATTTGTGCGCCACATCTGTGCCACGCCCTGCACGCCCATCCGCCCATTCGACTGCCACATGCGAAGCACAGCTAATTCATCATTTGCAGCAAGAGAAGAGCAGAAAAAAAAACAAACATTCAAGTGGAGCTTTAATTATTGCCATTTGTTAACACTTACCAAATTCGACGTGAACTTTTCCCTAATCAAAACAAAAGCTACAGCTAAAGTAGAGGTAATTATTTAGCTACATTTTTAGTATTTTAATAGATTAGATATGTATGTATGTATGTACATATATATTGGAATAGTTAATCTTGAGCTTACTTAGCATCATATTTCATTCTTTTTAAAGCATAATATCTAATTGGATTTTAGTTGGTCTAGTTAATGAGGTGCACAAATTTCATTTGGCGTCTAATTTTAGACTCATTTAGATCTGCCCAGCTGAGCAGGTGAAATATATATCCGAGCTTTTCAGCTACGTTGAGAAAAACAACTTTCCAAATGTCGCATGCAACGAGTTGGCGCATTATTACTGGGGTATGCACGACTAGAGAAACATTGTGTTGATTTCATATTAAGTAAATCTAAGTTAGTATTTACTCACAAATGGTTTTAGCACTCTTATCTTAGTCTTAAATCAGCCACATGCAACAGTACCCAAAAATATTATACACATTCTGAGCTTAGGGTATCTCAATCGAAAGTATGAAGTCAGAGAACTGAAAATCTTAAATATGATATGGCAAATTTTCACCTGTGGCTGAGTTCTAAGCGCTCGACCTTGTCTCTGGTAAATCGAGCAGGGAGGGGAAGGGCCAGGGGCTTTACCTAATTCAAACGTGATTTGTGTCCGATTCGAAGCGAGAGACCGTGCGCCACGTACTTGACGCGATCAACGGTCAATGATTCGTGATTAATCAGTTAACTGAAACCGAATCGCAAAAGGAA